GCTGACCCTGTTCCTCACTCCAACGATTCAAGGTTGTTGCCCACAAGGGAGTGGGACATTGAAATGTCGGACGGGGGTTGAGGTTTGGGACTTGACCTGCTTGGGTAGGTTGTTGACCTCTGGTTCGGAGTCGGAGTCATCCGAAAAGCCTTATGCGAGGTGATCATCCAAAGGGATTGGGTGATAATCTTCTGGCTCATCATCAAGCCATCCACCAATGCCTTGGTTGGTATAATACGGATCGCCGGGAAGATGGAAGCCAGCCATGTTATCTACGAGAGAATGGGGAAAAGAATAGTTAATAGACGTACTAATGAGGATCCTTTTTAGTTTGCACATAAGTAATTATAGTAACACAAAATACTCCTATAGTATTCTGTTCTAATGTTCCCGTTGTAGTAGTGTTGGTAAGTTTTTAGGCTTGTTGCAACACCACAATCATTCTTAGGCACATGCTAGTCACTCCTTGGAAAATATAGTTGATCAGGCTATATCCCCCTAGATTTGACTATATGTCTCTAAGCCTAATTGTGCTGTTCAACAATCATAATACTTTTGTTCTGTTCTAGTATGATACTGACACTGGTATGAATAGATGTATATATACTTAGTTAAATATTTTATTATTTAAAAGTATATATTCTTGGTCAGAGTGTTTTAATCCCGTTGCGTTTATAGTTTGTATATCTTTTATGGGTTGATATACTTGATTCACTATAAACAGTGCTCTAATACTAATCTGTCACACCCCAAAACCGGAACGGCGGAAACGTTCTGGGGTGGAGGACGTCATGTACAGTATCATAACAATGCATAATAGTAAACACAAGCAACAACATCCATTGCATTAATATAATAATTTTAATACAAGCGTGTTCTCTATATTATGTAAGACACCAAAAGTATGATCAAAATAAAAGACGAGTCTTGTTTGTGCTCCATCTTCTCAAAAGCTTCATTGGTACCTCTCTACTGATGACCTGAGAATACAAGTTATTTTGAAAGAATTTATCAGCATAAAGCTGGTGAGTTCATAAGTATTTAGTGTCATTGCTTGTATAAAAATGTTTGTAACAACATAGTGTAAATGCTAGTAGCTACTTGTAAATCTTTGTAAATGTTTGTAAATAGTTGAACTCTCTAGAAAATCCTATATTTTCTACTAAAATGTAGCCTTCTACCAAGACCCGACTGTTTGTATGTTTGTTCTTTGTAGAGTAAGAGTTTTCCCCAGTGAAACTAAAATATAGTTTACTTAAATGTGTATGTGACAAGGTCACAGGGTAAATGTCATAGGAAAATAATGTTTTACCTCAGCAGTGACACTGCTGGTCATAAAGTGATGAAGTATAGACTCCAGGTAGTACTAAATGTACAGTACACCACGGGGAGTCTAAAGAAAGTGAAAATGCAGACTCCAGGTGGTATTAAATGAACAATACGCCTCGAAAAGTCTGTTTTGCATTTAATTCCTAATTAGTTAATTAAAGGTTTGAATGTGAACTCCTATGTAACCATACTGATCGACGGCTGAATAACTGATGACCCTCCGGTGTCATATGTAGTGAGGTAACATTCTGTCACCCCTTGGCCTTATCGGCTGGGACTGTAGCTAGCAGTCGGGATGTGGGAGTGTCTGTCCCGTATAGATCTATACACACTATGCCCGCTCTCCCTCCAGGAGACTCTGGTTACAAAGTGATGCCACAATAAAGTGTCGTATCGAGAAGTAGTATCTCACATTCTGTTTATCGTATTCAAATGTTTGTATAGTATGTGATAGTGTAGTGATGTTTTCTCTGTACTAGTGTGTAGTATATTCTCTTGTATAGTATATAGTGTGTTCTCTTGTATGGTATATAGTGTGTTCTCTTGTATGGTATATAGTGTGTTCTCTTGTATGGTATATAGTGTGTATTGACTCATAACTGTACCGAATCTTGTATGTGTCGTTGTAATAGTAGTAGTGAGTAGTAAACCCTTAACTATACCTATTATAGTTAAATAGTAATGTTGTTTATATACCTTCGTTACACAAAGGTACTGAACTGAAATGAAAGCTTTTATATCCAACACACACACACACACATATATATATATATATATATATATATATATATATATATATATATATATATATATATATATATATATGATATATAACTAACATTTCAACGACATTCGGACAAATAACAGGATACCCTAAGTCCACAACCAAACAAGGAACAGGAAATAAGGTGAGCTATCAGTTCTAAGTCTTTCAAGTCTTACTTATATAAATATATTGGTGTAGATATGGGTTTGAAAATAAAGTAAGTTTAAAAGAGTTTGAAAACGGTTTTAGCATCTAAAAGAGTTTAATAAATGGTTTCGAAGTGCTTGAAATCCATAAGTTTGATAGCAATTTGAAAGTAATAGTAAATCTTTTTTGTTTGTTCTAGTTATTAATCACATGTGATTAAAGCAATAACTAGAATGTTTCAACTTGTATTCCCCCTCATAAAAGCATTTAAAATCATGTCAAAGGTTGATTAAGGGGTATGAACTCACCTGAAATGAGTGATGCGAATGTAAGATCGGTAATGGATGCTAAGTGTCAAGTGAAGTCTTGATCACACGTACGGATCCTATTTAGCATATACTAACATATATATGTATACAATTAGTGTATATTCAACTAATTAAGAAGGATAACACCCTTATTGTCTACGAAACACTTATATGGAAGTGTTCCAATCACAAAGGATTGCATAAAAGGAGTGTATGGTCACTAAATGGAGCTTTCGGTCCAAGTGGTATGTTCATAGGAGCTTTCGATCCTAAAGGTATTCTCGGTCCAAATGGTTGTCGGTCCGAATGGTTCTCAGTCTGAATGGTTCTCGGTCCAAAAACCGAAAACTCAAGATATTTGGTGCATGTGGTGATTTTCAAGGGCTTTCAAACATGCATAGGGGTTCTAAGTTTTATCCAATGCCTTAAGTGAGTTGTAAGGTCTTAAAGGCACTTTTCTTTAGGGTTTTTGGTTTAAGGAGATGCACTATACCGAAAACTCCTTTCGTTCTTGGAAAAATGGCGATTTCAAGGCCCTAAATCAAGTATCCTTACTAGATAACAAGTGTAGGAAGTAGATACTTACAATATGGAAGCAAAGAAGGGTGTTTTCGGCCCAAAACACTAGTGTGTGTTCTTGGTGTTCTTGGTGTTCTTGTAGAACACTTGAAGATCTAAGAAAAATAGAAGATTTCATGGATGAAATCATGTATAACTACTAGATGAAGTGTTGTATCAACAAATCAAGAGAATAAACACTTTCATTTTTGGAAGATTTGGAAGAAGCTCTTATGATACTTGAGAGAGAAAGTGGGTGTTCTTGAGTTTGGAAGTAAGAAATGAGGAAAGGAGGAGTAAACTCATGCCTTAAGCATGAGTTCTCGGTCAAAGGGGTTTTCGGCCCTACCCCTTATGTTTGGCCGTAACACCTTATTAAGGTGTTAATTGTTTTATTTGTTCCCCAATAATCCTAAAAAAATACTTCCTTTCATTTGTTTTCTCGAAAAAAAAATATTAAAAATACTCAACCGGACTTTAAACCGAGCTAAAAACTAGCAGAAGTGAATTTGACTTTTAATTTACGCGTTTGACTGTAGAGTTCGTACAAATGAAAATTTCGGGTTGTCACAGCTAAGATGTACATGGAGGAGATTGCCATACATCATGGCGTACCATTGTCTTTTATCTCACGTGATAGTCGATTTTCTTCAAGATTTTGGTAGAAGCTTTAGGAGGAATTGGGTACTAGGGTGCATTTGAGCACAATCTATCATCCCTAGACTGATGGGCATGAAGTGTGTTAGGATTGATTACAAACAAAAATGATACTCATAAAACTGTTAAGAACACAAGATCTAAATATAATCTGGTTGGATCTTATTCAAGTCTGAAAATAAGTACAAGAGTTCGAGAGTACAAGAGATAGAATGACACTCAAAAGTTCTTACTCTCCTCTAGTACCTATCATGTTTATAGGATACAAAACAGACTTATAAAAAAGTACAAGGACTAAACGTCTAAGTTTTGAATACAACAATTCCTTGCAAAATAGATAAAGATTTGAAATCATTTGGATTCCGACTCCTTACCGACTCAAACTATTTCGACTCCTCACTATAAAGAGATTTGTATACTCAAAATCTCCCAACACCATATAATGGTCTTTCGAGTCTTAGCCTTGTCTTCCATTTCATTCTTCTTGTAGTTTTTAATTCGAATAAAGAGATTTGTATACTGAGAATTTGTATACCTCTGAAGATCACTCGCTTGTAACAAAAAGTTCGTCATTCGCCCATTCTTATTCTTTCCTCGAAACAAGACACCAATAGGTTGATGAATTATCTCACCATATTCATGATCATTGATGTTAAGCTTTCCCCTTAGCAAAGATTGAAGGACTTTCGAAGGTTTCTTGATAGCTGATGCAAGCTTAATATCAGTAATTGCCAAGTAATAATTGTAGTTGTCTATGAAAACTTTGATATGAGTAAAAATAATGACGAAATCATCCTTGTTGGTATCTGTTATCTTCGACACATCCTCATTACTGAAGATATTTGAGACCGTGATCAAGTCATTTAAGTTCATTAATGGGAAATATGTTATTGTGAACTCAAAAGCAACATTATTTTCTCTTAAGACAACGTAACAGAAGTTTTGCAGCAGACCTTCGAACAAGTTGTCACGAATGATTGGCATCACCTTTATAATCTTCACTGGTGACAATATCTCTTCTTCATTTTTTCCCAAGACTGCGTGAAAACGAATCTTCAGTCTTTTTAATTCTTCTTTATCATTGAAATTCTCAACAATCTTGAATTGATAAGAGGTAAAGAACATGTGGTTGGTCGGAAAATCAAGCTGAGTGAAATCAGAATTTTCAATGTAGTAATTCTTCTTAGGTACCTTTCTCGACAATATTGAATAGCTTGTTGCTTTTTCTTCTCTTCTTATGATAGAACAACACAGATATCTTTACCTTTCTCACTTGGATCATCATTTGAGGTTGGTTGGTTAGGAATTGAACTCGAAATCGAACCTCTAGCACTTTCGTTTATTGACATTCCTTTTGTCAACGATCTTGTTGTTGTTGTTGTGGAAGTTGTGGTCAAATACATGGGGAGTGAAGGCGGAATTTGAGTCGAACTTACTTTCCCAACTACAACTCCTTTCTCTTTGTCAACATCCTTTGAAGAACCAACTCCTCCAGTTCCTTTGTCTCCCTCTTGTGAATCTTGCATTGCACATGGAGCTTTATTTGGTAGACGAAGAACCAAAACAATGATTGGAAAAAGCTCGGATTTGATATTGGACACAATATTTGAAATTAATTGAGAAAGAGACTCTTGAGAGACTATTGATTGATTCGAAAGATCAACCTTAGAAATAGACTCCTTGATACTTGACAAATAATACAACAAATTAAATATTAAGGATAAATAAGGAACATACTCTAACAAGCGTTACATTTTGAGACGATTCTATTTTCGTATTCTAATCAACTATGTTTAATTGTTTCATGAATTAATGTTTAGACAAATTTTAACCTAATTTATTAGTAAGAAATGTTAACAAGCTCTAATATCACTTTACTTGTCAAAATATTTAGTTAAAAAAAGCTCTTTAAGTAGACCTAATTTTACTAACCCTAATCCAAATAAGCTCTTATGCCTTATTCTCGAGTCCCACATAAGGGGGGAAGTTAAGGGACGTTGGGAGAAATGGAAAGAAATGTGGATATGATCTTGTTCCCATGATTTTTTTTAAAAGAATTGGAGTAAAAAGAAGAGAAGTGAAGGGATAATCTTCTCACCTAATCTCCCTCCTAAATAGGAAGGATTTGGATAGAAAGGAATCACTTCATAATCCCAATATTTTACATTTACATAACTACTCTTCAAATGTCATATAAATAGATCAAGTTTTTACCAGAGAATAACATCACGTACAAGGTAATTCTGCACAATCCTCAAGCCGCTCATAAAGAAGTCGACATGAAGCTGAGTAACAAGCATTTTTGCATGCATCTGGTATATCAGTTTAATGTCATTAAAAATTTATAACACGGTAGATCTAAAATTAGGAAAAAAGAAGACACCCTAGGACTTATGCGTTAAGCTATTTATGTCTATGGATTGATCTCCAAAACCAATTTCATCTTTCCTAAACCAATACTAAAATCAGTTAAAAATTTGGTTCTTGTAACTCATATAAGTTTTTAGCTAATTATGAAGGTTGGCAGGAGGTTATGTAAAAAATGATGGAGTACATGCATTCATAATTAGAAAATTGTTGTTTTCTCTACATTTGGTTAAGCTTAAGCTGACAATGTTGTTTAGTTCTGTAATTAAAAAAAAGCTTAAAAAGAACTTTTTAAAACCATTCCATAAATCATGTGGTTGTTCATGAAAAAGAGAAGTTTTAAAAAAAACGCTTAAAAAGAACTTTTTAAACCATTCCATAAAAAATGATGGAGTACATGTGGCTGTTCATGAAAAAAAAATTAAAGAACTTTTTAAAACCATTCCATAAATCATTATATAAAGATCAAGTCTAAAATATCAATCCAATAGTATCAATTACACATAATTGAATTATGAAGTTAGAACAAAAAAAGAGAAGTTTTTAGCCATGAATTGCTGAAAAAACAAGTTCAAAGATGTAACTAGGAGAACTTTTTACAAATCAAAAGATAGAAATTTCGAATAACAAATCCAAAGTGTGTTCTTCAACGTTTCGTTGCTCCAAAAATCGTTCTTCAACCTCCAAAAAACATGTATTTTTATAGGTTGAGTTTTTGCTTATAGGTTGGAAAAATATGTTAACCAAACATCCTTTTGACTCGATCGAGTCGATTTTGTGTAGGATTTCCACTCAGATGAGTGGAATCTTGCGTTGGATTTCTTCGTCTTTAGGTTCCACTCAATCGAGTGGAAGTAAAGAATAGTGTCTACTTGGTCGTGTAACTCTCTATAAAGTTAGATTCTTTAAAGTTTTTGTTTTTTGCAATGCAACTTCGTTCTTCATGAAACATGACCATCATCTTCTTAATAACATTCTAAGAGTGTTCTATACTTAAACCATCTAAATACCATCCAAAAAGTTTGCAAATCAAAAGGTTCCATAAATTTACGCAAAAGTCCCGCAAATGTTTAAAATACACGACTTTTATGCCAAAAACTGATGTAAATGCATGGAGTATATGTATAAAAGATGCATAAAATGTATCTAACATGTATGTGTAAAACCCTTTTTCTTTAAAATATAATTTGTCCATAATATTAAATGTGTGTCTCGCATGATACAACAGTCATAATGATTCTTCAAGACCAACACACGTAACAAACCTCCTAAAGGTTACCTTAGAACATTTTGCATTGGAAATATGTTATGTAAATTTCATCATGTTGAAGAACTTACAACTCATGGCCGTAATGTCACTGTTTGTTGTCTAGAAGATACGTGTATTTTTACATTTCCTCTCTTTGTATTTAGAGTATAATATATGCACACACCATTAGTCTCGATCATAATTCATAAATATTTCATATTATTAAATTTTGAGAAAAAATTATTATTATGGACCTAAATCCATATGATAATGTGTATTGCGTCATAGAATTTGAAAAAAACAATAGTCACCAAAGAAATAATCAAGCGATTTTCCTTTCTCATCCACTTTATATGAGCTTTCTGTGCCCTACTAAAGAGTGCTAATATATTTATTTCATTGAAACATTGATGTACTGTGAGCACAATAAATTGGTTTAAACTAACATGCTCTTTTATTCCTACTTAGGATAAATCTTTAACTTTCCCACATTTATTTGAAACACAACATTTCATTATCAAAATATCATTTATATGAACTTCATTTGACATGTATGACATATCAAAATGAAGCTATCACTAGTATCATATAGGAGTACATATGTAAATTCCGGAATCTAGAGAATCAATTATGGAAATAAAAACCTCATTTCTGAAGGCCAACTCGACGAGTTTGAGGGAGGAAACTCGACGTGCTGGAAGTGTGGTTCACGCGTGTTTTTGAAGACCAACTCGACGAGTTAGGGAGGACCAACTCGACGAGTTGGGCGTGGTTTGGGAAACCCTAATTTCAGGTTTTACACCCTATTTAAACAACTTAAACCCCATTTGTTGGCCTCATTTCCAACCACCATTGTCCTAAACCCTAACCTCGAAACCCTAAGGAATTTTTGAGTGTTGTGAGCCATTTTGACTGCTTTGGTGGTGTGTTTGAAGCCATTGGAAGGAAGGGAAGCTTGGTGAGAGTTGGTGATACAAGAAGGAGCTGCTAGATCTCGAATCTTTGCTTCATTTTCGACACTTTCCTGGTATAAAGTCTATACCTTGCTTATTTGATGCTTACATCTCCTTCTTTGGATTATTTTGCATGTTTAGCGAAGATTAAGAGTTTGGTGGGAGTTGGTCATCCCATTTGGGCAACCCTTTCAGATCTATGGTTCTACGGAGCTCTTGTGGCATAAAGGTGCCAACTTTATGGTCTTATGGGATCTATGAATCCTTAAGCCCTTATTATGGTCTCTTTTAAGCTTTTAAGTTCCCCCAAGCCTTGCATGCGAGTATAGTTGAAGACTTTACATGACCTTTTAGTCTTGAAGGTCCAGATATGTGTTCATGGGCCTTATCTTGAAGATATGGTGGTTTTAGGATTAAGACATAAGCCATTTTGGACTAGGGTTTGAGCTTAATGCCTTTGGGGTAGTTCTTAATGGATAAAGTTGGAAACATTACCCTTCTAGACGTATTTTCAGTCTAGATCTGGAAGATAGAGCTTCAGTTTGAAGAAAAGTGGTTTAATGCATTAAGTGGGTTGGCTAATCAAAGAACTCGACCAGTTCTTAAGGGAACCCGACTAGTTGGGTTGTTTGTCCCGATTTTGTTGAAAAAGGCGGAACTCCACGAGTTAAAGGGAAACTCAACGAGTTCGATCGAAATATCGTGATTATATGCTTAATGGAAACTCGGCGAGTTATGGGATAACTCGATGAGTTGAGTCAACTCGGAGCGTTGACTTTGACTTTTGACTTATACTTTTGACCAAGTTTGTGCCAAGGGGTGTTGAGGTAACCTGAATTGTATTCGAGGGAAATATGGGCTTACGATAAGAACCACATGGGATCGGGCCCAATTTGGAAAATTGGGTCATTAATGGGCATTGATGGATCTTATAGTTTTGGGCCTTGGTTGCGAGTCTTGATGGGCCAGTGGTAAAATGGTCATTTTACCCCAAGTTTAGATTATGGATCATGGTTTGGGTATTCAGTTGCTAATCGGATGTTGTTTGGGTATTGATAGTTTGGGAAGTCGTCGGGTCAGCAACTAAGGTTTCGCGCAGTGAGCTTCAGCATTCGAGGAGAGTCTCCTCACTGTTCGTATGGGTCGAAGGCACCAATGTCGGAAAGTTTGGTTTATGTATTATAGGATGACCCGGAGGTTAGCCCTTGGCATTATGTATGGAAGAACATGAGGTGGCTCCTGGAAAACTGTTTGAAAGGCTAGAGTCTAAACTGTGGCAATTATTAGTTAATTAGTTGTAGATTGTATGCTAGTTGTCATTGTGATGATTTCATGGAAGACCCAGATGTGGCTCCTGGCACTTGTCTATAAGACCTAGGGTTGTGGCCCTCGGCCTGGCAAGAAAGACCATGAGGTGGCTCGTGGCATAATGGAAAGACTATGTGCATCACATAGCACCTATATTGATTATGATATATGAATCATATGTATGGCTCGCAATTACGTATGGCATGTATGGATCGTTTGATATGCATGGTATGTGGTATTTGGGGAAGTCACTAAGCTTTGTGCTTACGTTTTTTAGTTTTGTTTCAGGTACTCCAGTTTTCAAATGAAAGAGCTCGGGATGATCGCAATGCATACACCCGTGTTTTCTGCAATATGTGATCTTTGAGATTCGACTCTAGTATTTGTTTTAATTGAAAATTTTCTTTTAATGTCTTAAACAAGATACGATAGCTCTTTGGTTATAATAAAAATGAAATTTTTACCTTGGATTTTTGGGTCGTTACAAGTTGGAATCAGAGCCTTGGTTTCAGGGATTCGGGCATACTCTTGGGTGTGCATGAACTCAAATTGAGGGTTTGGTGAAAATTTTTATAAAGAAACATTTAATTAAAAGGAATTCTTAAACAAGAAAGGGGTGTGATGCGTGCAATTGGCCGAGCTCAAGTAA